AGGTTTCAAACCTTCCTTTGAAGCTCACAGCTTCCAACTGCCAGCCAGTTCCAATTGGAACAGTTTATTCTCAATATAGAGTGAATATATGAAGGAGGAAGTGGGGGAATCTGCTGAAGATGAGGCGACTGAATCGGAAGAAGACCCTGAATTTGGTGAAAGAGTTGGATGCCTTTCCAAAGGTTCCTGAGAGCTATGTAGAGACTTCAACAAGTGGTGGAACAGGTAAGCCTTACTGAGACCCTGGTGATGCCTGGCCTGATTAATGTGGTTAGTCTCTTTAGCGCATTTTGGTAGTAAATGTTTCAATTGGGGGAAGACATGGGTATCAGTTTACAAATGTGGATTTGAAAGATATATACTGTGCCGTAGCTAATCCCTTTCAGATGATGGCTCAATTTGTTTCTCCTGCTGTTGGACAAAATGCATGAACCTGTCAAATGGGAAATTCTGTCCAGTAGTTAAGAATCAAGCAGATGTAAGGGTATACATTAACAAAATGAGCTTTCGAGGGAGTTATGAATTTACCTTCCCCCCACAAACATACTGTGCATACTTTCTAAATGGAATACAATTGAAGTATACTGCAGCTACAGTAATATAAGACCATCTATTGTGTCCCTCCTTCCAAAGCCCTCACTTGTGGAGTCCCACAAGGGTTGGTCCTTTTCCCTATCCTGTTCAACATCTATACGAAGCCATGAGATGAGATTGTGAAACAGCATGGACTGAAATACCAGTGATACACAACTGATATCCAACTCTATATCACTTTTAACATCAGATGCAAAAAGAATCATCTTCCTAACTATCCTCTCTGGAAGACTGAGGTGATGTTAGCAGGGTGAGGGAAGCACTCAATAATTCTGTAATATCCCCTCCATTGAAGGTATTTGTGCAGACTACAGCCTCAGTGTACACCTGGGCTTCTCTCAAATAGCTAAAGCTGCAAGAAACACCAGTTCTATCTATAGGTGTCAGACCAGGCCAAAGTCATGGTTCTAACTGGCGATGCACAGCACGTGCCTCCGGATGAACCTCAGACATCTTTACTGTATTTCTGTGTGCATGCACAATAGCATGACTTTATGCACAACTTCACAGTCACAATGAGGAGATGTGCATAACTTTGGAGATATGCAATGCTCATCTTGGATTAGAAATTGACCATTAATCCAGTTTTTGGTGCTTTCTAATGTGTTCTTTTGCTCACTCAAACACAGATAAAGTGGACTGACTTTTGTGCATCTGTAATTGTTACAAAAAGAAGAAGCTGGCAGCCTTGTACTGGATTGTTATGCACAAGTGACTTACGCAGGGTACCTCTTCTTATTGAATGAGTGGTGCCTCTTATTCCCCTTATTTGTTTTTCTTGGCTGAGACTAGAAGCAAACATCTGTGATATGAAAGCCCAGGTTCTATAAGCCTGATTGGTACCAAGGCATTTTGTGCCCCCTAGGCATTTCTTGGCCCAGTCTTAACCATTTTAAATTAGAGAGAGGTAAATGGGGTCTGCCACAGTTCAGGGCAACTGCTCCTATATTCCCCCTCCATAGTCCCTCAAGGGCATCCATGCTAGGCTCCTAGCTCTTCAACTGACACTTCTCTTTAGCAGACAGCTGCATCTGTCTCCCTGCAGACTGCAGTTTTTCCAGGCTGCATGGTTCCCTGCCTATTCTGTGGTATTCCCAGCAAGCCAGACTGCCTAAACAGGCCAGCATCTGCACTTTGTTGTCTCTCCAGAGGCTATATGAACAGTGTAAATGCCAGCAGTTGTATGTTACCACCCAGCTCTTTTTAAGCAAGCTCATTTATTCTTAAAGGGAAAGCATTACAGAGAAAACATATTATAAATATTAAAGCACCTACACACCTTCTAAAAAGCTTATTAGAGATCACCCAACTCTGACCTCAGGCTCTGGTAGGTGTCAGCCTTTCCACAAGGATTGGGGCCCTGCCTGGGGCAGAAGGTCCTGTCCATTTGCTGGCCCAGAAAGGAGGTCCAGAGTCACTTTAAACTCAGGCTATTTATCCAAAAGTCTCTTCTTTGTCTGTTGGTCTGTGGAGAATCCAGTTTTAACTGGTATATCTGAGCTTCCCAGGAGCTGGTGCCTCGCTGTGGCGGTTGCAACCTTGCTAATTTGCCTTAATCACCACCCACTGCTTGTAGTTCCTGGAGGAGTTGTGCATGGAGTAGAACACAATCATACATAAACCATTCATTTAAAACAATGGACCCTAAAGCTACTTAAACTTAATTCAGTAAGGTCTCCCAAGGATATACAGGAAATGATCATATATGTTACAGGGTAATGCTGCAAACATCAGGGTTTACTTTTTATTTAGGCTATTTTAACTAAAGGAAATTTTCTATGTGAATACTGAAAATCCCAACAGGTTCTGTGTTTAGCACTCTGTGCTGTCATTGTGATAGAGCTGGATTTGATTTTCAGGCCCTGTGAATGGTGATGGATGTATTGTACACACAGTATGATAAGCCTTTGAGCAGAGGGCGGAGCACCTGGATACCATGATGATGGGGCACTTCTATAAATAAGTAGCTGGGAAGCTCATCTTGCTCTGTGGTTATCTTTGTATTTGAGAAAGGATCAGCAACGATGGACTTAAGTCCACCCAGCACCCCTTATTAATGGAAAGTTATCCTCATGTGGCCTCCTTGAAGTGGAGGGAGAACATTTTTATGGACTCTATGAAATGTTCTCTGAGGACACAGCTCATCATACCCAAAAGATATTTTTGGATTGGGACTTTCAGTATCTTTGTTCTTCCTATGTAAATGCAAAAATCGTACAGATGATGATGTGTTTCTAAGAGAATTTTTGCACTTATGGCTTATTTGTGATAAATATAGTTAAGACCTCAACTCAATAAATTCATTTATCTGCCATCAATGCCTTCCTTAAGTATTAAATTCTTTGTATTGTCTCTTTCTTGTAAACACCAGCAATAAATAACATTTCCTCACTAGCTGATCCTTTTTCTTTTTGATTTCAGTTTCTTTAATAGCATTTACAGCTATGGCTTTATTAACCATAATGGAGTTTATGGTGTATCGAGACACGTGGATGAAATATGAATATGAAGTAGACAAAGATTTTACTAGGTAACTTTTATTCCTTAGAATTTCGTTTAAATTTAAGTTGTCTGCATTTCATCAGCTGTTCTGAAAAAGAATGGATTTAAAATGTTCTTGCTACTCCTAAGCAATTACAGTTTGAAATTAAAATGGAAACAGATGATTTATTTTTTGTTTTGTTGTTTAATATGCTGGGGCCAGGTTCAGTAAGAAAAAGAAACACAACTGCCTTCTATGAAGAGGGAAGAGACTTGCTTACAATCCAGCAACATTTTGGATGTAATCTCAGCCAGATCTAACCCTTAAACCCGAGGTGCTGTTCTGGCACGCTTTCAGCATTTTTATCAGTATGTTGCTTGTTTTGCTTCTGAGTGCAGCTCATAGTATTGAAGATTAATTTTAAAGCAATTAGCTGTCAGTGACCGGGCTATCTGAAGGTTGCCTGTCATGTTACTACATATCATGACAACTGAGGTTGGCTAGAGATACTCTTGCTGTCAGTTCCATGTGCTTGCCTGATTTTTCTGAGGTGCTATGTGCTCACAACTCCACTTGAAGTCAGTGGGAGCTGAAGGTGGTCAGCGCCTTTGAAGATTAGGCTTTGTGTATTTAAAGCCTGTAACCCAATTCACAGATGCAACGTACATTTTTGAAAATTGGCTTAAAGTGGTGATTGTGTTATGTCAAAAGTTCAGAGACCTATTTTACTCAGAAAAAAAATGTCTATAATAGATTTAAGTGAGATGCATGCAAAACTCAGGTTTTGCCCCTCAAAGAAAAATCCATTTGAACAGACTGACATCCTCCTATTGCACACAGTTACATAGCCTTTGGCTCCTTCGACAAAGTGTCTCTTAAGTTTGGCTGAAAAGCTATGTTGAGTGAGTGTAGCAAACCTTCCCTTTTTAAACTGTGCAACCTGCATCTTGAGCATATATTGGTGAGGAGGTTTCTTTGCAAAGTCACTGAGCCTGCCTGTGCCTCTGTTTTCCATCAGTAAAATGGGATTAATAGCACGTACTCACCTCACAAGGATGTTCTGAGGATAAACACATTAAATATTGTGAGGTGCTCAGATATTACAGAGATAGCGGTCATATAAGTATCTCAGATAGGTAGAAGGAATAGTCCTGATTCATATGACTTTTTGCTGCTTGAAAAGTCCTGCTTTTAAAAGTGGCTGTACTTTGGTGTTTGAAAAGTCCTAGTTACAAAAACAGAAGTCTGTATCAAAGGCAATAGCATTTTCTGGCAGCTGGATCCCAATTTGGGTCAGACAGAGCAGCTGTTGAATTGTGATCATGGAGGATTTTCACTGAAATGAAATAAAAACCTGCTCCTGCAGACATAGTCGCCGACTTCCTCTTTTCCCAAGGGGTGCTTGACCCCTACCTCGTCTTTTCCTGCTCCCACCTGCCTCTTCCCGCCCCTCCTCCTGCCCCCACCTGCACCTCCTGCATGCCGCTGAACAGCTGATCTGTGGCGCGTGGAGGAGTTGATTGGCGGAGGTGCCAGTGGGTGCTGAGCACCCACTATTTTTTTTTTCCATGGCTGCTCCGGGGCTCGAGCACCCACAGAGTTGGTGCCTATGCCTGGAGATGATAAAACCAGAAGTAGATGTTCAAATCCTTGCATAGGGTTTTAGCTTTGTGACCCCCCATGTGCCTCCCATTCCACCCAATTCATTGGGAGCTGTGTGCTACTACAGTTTCATGAAAATATACTTCAAAATATTACTGACAATGGAGACTCTGCTTTTCTGCAACCATTGGGCCTTTATAAGAGGTAGCTAAACTCCTGAACCAGTCATATTTCATTCCGTTTTTAAAGTTAATTGCAATATTTAATTCTGCTATAAAACTAGTTCTCCCCTTGCCACTTGTCTTATATTAAAGGCTTAAATGGTGAATAGACACTGGGTGACTTTCTAAACTAGTCACTAAACCTCTCTGCCTAAGCTTTCCCAAATCTTAAATGGGAGTAGTATTTAGCTGTACTGGTATTCATTTTGCCTTTGGAGTGCATTTCTGTACGTATTCTCACATAGTTATTTTGTCTTGGCATCTGTACTAAATTTAATTAATATTGCAAATTTTTGTTTTTTTGTCTTCCAGTAAATTAAGAATCAATATAGATATTACTGTTGCCATGAAGTGTCAATGTAAGTATTCCATCAGCATGATAGTGTTGGTGGTTGTGGTTTTAAAAAAAATTGGTACACCTCTACCCCGATATAATGCGACCCGATATAACACGAATTCGGATATAACGCGGTAAAGCAGCGCTCTGGGGGGGCGGGACTGTGCACTCCAGCGGATCAAAGCAAGTTCGATATAACATGGTTTCACCTATAACGCAGTAAGATTTTTTGGCTCCCGAGGACAGCGTTCTATCGGGGTAGAGGTGTATTGCTGTCAGATTAAAAATAACATGCTTATGTTAACTTGATCAGACATCTTGGATGTTGGTTTTGGCTGTCCAGGAAGAGAGTATGATTGTTCCAGATTTTTCTGAGCAATAATATGTAGCTTATTCTTGAGTCACAGGATTGGGCATAGTTAACAGAGAGAGAGAGGAGCAATTTATCAAAGTAGTAAGTCAGGCAGATCATAAACTTGCTCTGCTGTTTGGTGGCATTTACAACAAAACTAAGACAGGAGAGAGGGTCAGTTTCCTAGTGGCCACGTTCAGTCAGTGCCTTCATAATTGTTAAACGCAGGTTTGCAGCTTTTTTTAACAAGCAGTGGGTAATTAAACTACATTTGTCTACACTGTGTTTTTTGGTTATCCTTGATTGACAGGGAAAACTGTTTTTCCTAGCCAGATTGTTGGTGTTAAAGTTTTGTCTACATTCTGTGTTGAATCCCTCTTTTCATGGGTCTTTAACTCAGCTATAATATTTTTAGATTGTGTGATGCTGAAGTTTGTCTCATAATTGTTTGATTTACAAGTACCCCATTCCCTACTCTCATGGGTTATTTTAAATTTGTTAATCTGCCACAAGAGTCGCAGCTAGGAACTCTCTGAAATCTAAACCTGGCTCTGATACAGACTCTCTGTTTGGTCTTGGGCAACTCCTTAAAACCCCTCTGCCTCACTCCTGCTATATGATAAAAGGGTACAATACTTAGTTATCTCATAAGGCTGTTATGACAATTACTGTTTGTCATGCTCTTTGGAGATGCAAAGTGCTAAATAAGAGCTAAATATTATCAGTATGCTTTTTTGAGTTAGTATTATACCAATCTATCTTCCCATGTGTTTTCCTTCTTTAAAAAAAATCAAATAGCTTAGTCTCTCTGTGGACTAGTGTCATTTAGATTTGATAACTGCGTTTATGTAAATAGAAGAGATTTAAGTTTGCACTGATCAATTTGTGCGTGTGTAAATGTGCATAAATATGTGTGTATACAGAGCTACAATAATTACAGTTAATATAATATTTTGTTCAGTACTTACTGTTTAAGAAGAGCAGTAAATGAGCTTCTCTGAAAGTGATACATTAGTGAGAAATGATGCTTCTAAAAACTGTCTCTGTCCCCTTCTCTCTCTCTGCCCTGTGTCTATGATGTTTTGGTGGTGTTAGGTGTTTGGTTTGTTGTTAGGTGGATTTAAAAGTTTTTTCAGTCATGAGTTTCTTGCCAGCTTTTTTCCTTTACTGGTATGGACTTGCATCCCCTTAATAAAGAATAGATTTTCTCACCTTAATTAGTATCTGCTGTTTTACTGATAGGTTTGAAGAGATGTTGTCAAGCTTGATTTCTGCTGGATATTTTTTGTTTTTATTCATATCTATCTTTTCTTTTAATATTTTCTATTTTGTTTTGTTTTTTGAAACAGATGTGGGGGCTGATGTTTTGGATTTAGCAGAAACAATGGTTGCCTCTGCAGATGGTTTAGTTTATGAACCAGTAAGTTTATTCCATTTTCTTTATAAAGATGGTGCTCTTTATTAGCTGTGACGTGCCTTTTCATTTTGGCTAAACTGTACCTCCAAAAATACTATCCAGTCCTGAAGTTGGACCAATACAGAGTCACATTGAAGTCTGTTATGCTCCACATGGTCACAAAGGTTTTGTCCAGGCAAAACTGGTTTCAGGATTGGCTGTGTGAGCTTAAGATGCTCACACTAGAAAGAAATGCTGTCCAGAAATGCACTTTCATTGTGAGCATGGAATTATGTTTTCTGCATGCTCGCTCATTGGTAGTGTGCAAATTTAAGTCTATAACCAAGAAAACTACAGCAGATTCCCTGTTCTTGGGTCCGCATTCATGAATAGATTGGATAGAGTGTTTCTATTGCTGAATTTTAACTGCTAACAATTGGCTCTATATTCATTTTCCTGTCAATTAGATAAATGAGGAATTCTCAGTGGCAGCTTTGCTTGATTTTGCTTTGTATTTCTGTAAAGAGAAAGTAGAATCTGAAAATGTTTTCTGTTGTCTTCTCCCCCAGTTTAGGTTATTCTTTTAATGTTGGTTCCTTGAGTTTGCTTTTTCATTTTGGGCTTTTTACATTTTTCTCTGAAGTGGTTCAACAGACTACCTCATGGACTATTATTTCTTTTTCAAGTACCATTGTGTGTGCACCTATGCATGTGTGTGGTTTTTGTTGTTGTTCTCATCCAGCTGTTGGAGAACCAGCTTCCAGTGCTACTTGAAGTGAAATTACAAGTTCCTTAATGGATGGTCATTACTGTGGTATCTTCTTCCCAGGGTGGATAAAAATCAATGATTTTTTTTTTTTTTAAAGCTTTACCTCAAAGCATTTTATAAAAAAAATCCAATCTAAAGGTAGTTTTAATTAAGATACATAATAGCTCAAAGATATCTCATCATGGAATAGGTATTATAAATTCTAACTCTATAATATGAGACAATATAGTCATGTAATGTTTAAGAAAAGTTTTGTAAATGAGTTTCAATAGTTCGTGGATTAGGGACCCAATCTTATGGAGTTCCAGGGTCTTCAGTATAGATTATTTTGGTTAAATCTTTCTATTGTTGTGGAAAAAGTTACCCACGCATTATTTTGATTAGAGACTTAAGCCTGAGGCCCGTTTATTGCAATACATACCAACGCGTTGGGGGTAGCAGTTAGAAACCACTTCCCCGATTTGGAGTACACTTTGCCTTTTCAAAGCCGAAAACTGCAAACATATTACAAGTTGCACGTTATTTATGAGAATAGGAGAGTTAGGGGTTTTTTGCCCTTTTTGGCACCCCTTTTGCAATTTTTTTGGAATAGGGTGCTATTTGAGTGGAGGGCATTTTGGTGGTTTTTGATACTGGCATTGTTTTGCTTTATTTGGGGTGCCTATTATGCAAGTGTTCCAGTCAGGGTGCAGTTTACAGAAAGGGAGTTTATGCGTTTGGAGAAAGGGGGGTTTAGGGGCACTTAAACGAGAGGCATGATTGGTTGCTTTTTTAACTATAACCTTACTTATTACTTTACACAAGCGGTTATTATATTTTGCCAGCCGTAAACACACACGCTATTATTATTGCTGCTGGGGCTTTTTGTTCTGTTTTTTCTTGGCCTCCCCCTCCCTCCTCTGGTCATAACCCTTGACTGTCACTGACAGGGAGCACAACACTTAGTTTGGTTCAGGCTTGTGGCCTGCAGGGCGGGCCTATGTCGATCTAAGGCTTAAACTAATAGGGCTGGCTAGATTTTTTTGCCGTGAAGGCATCACCAAGATTAATTTTCGCGGGGTACATAGGGCAGTAGTTATTGTTGGACCCGGAGGCAGATTGTGAACTGGCCAGCTTGGGAGTGCCGAGATTGGTGCCGGCCTGTTTAAGGGAGTTGATGCTAGGGATACTGACACTGAGTGGGCTTACAACCTCCGCCCGATCCCCCATTGCATACCGCACCTCCCTGAAACCAGCTTTGTTTTTTTTGGGCTGGGTGATGGGGAAGAGCAGGGTTTGAGGAAGGGGCGGGGGGTTTTAGACAGAAAACAACCAATCATGCCTCTTGTTTAAGGGCCCCTAAACCCCCCTTTCTCCAAGTGCATAAACTCCCTTTCTGTAAACTGCACCCTGACTGGAACACTTGCTTAATAGGCACCCCAAATAAAGCAAAACAATGCCAGTATCAAAAACCACAAAATGCCCTCCACTTAAACTAATAGGGCTGGCTAGATTTTTGGTTCTTTGGTCACAGACAATGCTGCAAATGTATCCAAGGTGAGAAGAAATTATTTAGAAGAGAGTCCCAAGCTAATAACATATGGTTGCAGTGCTCATTTGTTGCACTTCCTAGCCAAAGACTTAAGTGTTCCAGAAATAAAGGCTAATGTTGTTGAAATTGCAAAATACTTCTGAACAACTACTTTGCAGCAGCTGCTCTGAAAAAAGTGGGAGGAACCAAGCTAACTCTCCCACAAGACGTGCGATGGAACTCAGTAGTGGACTGTTTTGAGCACCATATCAAGAACTGGCCTAATCTGATGACAGTTTGTGAACAAAATCGTGAAAACATAGATGGCACTGTCACAGCCAAAGTTCTCAACATTGGGCTTAAGAGAAATGTTGAACACATGCTGAGTACCCTGAAGCCTATTTCTGTAGCCTTGAACAAAATGCAGGGAAAAGGCTGTTTTATTGCTGATGCTGTTGAAATTTGAAAGGAACTGAGAGATCTTAAAAAGAGAAATATGCAATGACAGAGTTAAATTACAAGCATTAAAAAAATGAATAGGACAAGCGCTATCTCCAGCTCAGTTTCTTGCAAATATTCTCTATACTCGGTACCAGGGTCAAACCTTAACTGCTGAAGCAGAGGAGTTGGCTATGACATGGACATCCAGCAATCATCACTCCATAATGCCAACTATAATAAACTTCAGAGCTAGGATGAACCATTCAAGAAATATATGTTTGCCGATGATGTTTTAAAGAAAGTCACACCAGTGAACTGGTGGAAGTCACTTAAGCACTTGGATTCAGAGACTGTTGAAGTGATGATCTCACTTTTAACAGCAGTACCTTCTTCTGCCGGTGTAGAAAGAATATTTTCTTCCTTTGGACTAATTCATTCCAAATTGAGAAATCGTTTCGGTCCAGAAAAAAAACAGGAAAGCTTGTTTTTCTTTTCCAGATTATGAACAAACAGGAAAATGAAGGTGAAGACCACTGAGTTAGCTGGAGAAGCCAATATTTTAAGTTTCTCATGTTGACCTGGCTGACAGTCTATTTAATTTTTGGTTTTTTAAATATTTCATTTAACTACTTTGGTTAAAAACAATTTTAACAAAAACAAACCTGATTTTAAAAAACTTGAATGTTTAAGTAAATTCAAAAATTCATATGCTTGTTTTGTTAAAATATTCTGTGTTTTCTGTTGAAGAAAAAAAATCCAGAATACATAACGTTGTTGTTTTAGTTAAATAAAACAATTTAAGTGTCTGCCTGGTGATGTTCTCCTCCTAATACAGCATGGCAAGAAAATCCTCCAAATATTAATGATTAACCTGTTGAATTGGAGATAGTTCACCTCCCAATGACTTCATAAATATCTGCTTCAATTACCCCTTTGCTAAATGAAATAACCAAACAATCATTCATTTTCTGATATAGCTGTAAAACTAATCTGAAAAGTTTTCAAAATAAATCACTTTAAAAATGTATAGTGTGTACCTTCTAAAAATGAAACCTACAACTATCTCTGAGTTGTGAAGAATATGTATTAAGGTTATAACGACCAACAAGAATGCACTTTTATGTAGAAATCCATGATTAAATCGAGTCTTCCTGACTAGTGAGTTAAATCAAATCCACCCTGCTTCTTACCTTTCAATTGAGCAGACAGTGATGCATCTGGATATAAGATCTGCTTGATGCTGTTTCTTCAAATCATTGAGTCCTATAGCAATTATATGCTGCTTCCCTGAAGCAGCCTGTGGGTATGTCTACACAGCAACTAGACACTCCTAGCTAGCCTGTGCCAGCCGTCTCGGGATCGCAGGGCTTGGGCTGCAGAGCTGTTTCATTGCTTTGTAGACTTCCCATCTTGGGCTGGAGCCAGGGCTCTGCCACCCTGTAAAGTGGGAGGCTCCCAGAGCTCAGGCTGCAGCCCGAGCCTGGAAGTCTACACAGTAGTCAAACAGCCCCACAACCTGAGCCCTGGGAACCCGAGTCAGCTGGCACGGGACAGCCATGGGTTTTTCTTTGCTGTGTAGACTTACAGGGTATGTCTAACTGCAAGTCAGTACAGTGGGCCTGAGTGAATGGGGTTAAATACCTTGTCCCCTGGGAGTATATGCTGCATCACAATTGTCTGTTTAGTTGCAGATTGGTTAATTAAGCCCATTAAGTAGTTGTCTGGTATTTCTTGGAGACTGTTCAGTTTACAGTAGCTGAGGAAATGCATATGCCATTATTGAACCTTTTCACTTCACTGATAATTCTGTGCCAGGAACAACTTGCAAATATTTGATTTTATGAGCCATATTTTCAGAGCTTAATATAAAACAAATGTGGAAGCGTTATGCCATCAATTATTAGATGTGTAATCAAAGGAGAACACTTAGCAGTGAAATGTATGGTGACAGTTATATCCTTTGTAAACAGTGTAAGTTCCCCGTGTTTTGAGCCATATCCCTAAAAATGGGGGATTGGAGAGGGAGGACAGAGTCTTGGGCCCACTAGGGGCTGTTGTGATAATTGGGCCTGCAAATTCGCTCTGATTGTGGCTCAACTGTGAAAAGTGAGTGAGAGTTCATAAGATGACACAATGACTTATAAAAATAAATGTTGATGGGGAAAAAATAGGAAAGGGAGACAGACTGAATTAACCCAAACAAAAAGGCCTACATATAAGTCAAGGACCATGTTTACCAAGCGTGATCTTAACAAGAAAATGGGGGTCTGGAACTCAGTGAACCAGAAGATGGGCTATTCCTCCCACCATTCCCTTTGTGGGTCCTGAAAGAGAGAAACTTTATGAAAGAATAGACGGAGGCTACTGGAGTGAGCTCTACCATCATGACTGCCACCCCCACCGTCTCCTGGGACCCCAGGCCTCTTTTGTCCTAATCCTAAGAGATGTCCCGCCTAGACAGGGACAGGGACCGAGATGACACCGCCACCTCTACCAGCTCCAGTTGAATCCCAAACAGCACCTGGGATGTAAGACATGGTCACAGAAGCCCCCCACCCCCCCGGGCGCCACCACATTATGTATTCTTTTCCTTCCCAACCTTATTTCTTCTCTTTCCTATCGCTCTCCTTTTTCCTTCTGTCTAACAAGAGTCTCTTAGCTGGCCGAGACTGTATATTTTGCAACACTACTGTCAGCCTATGACCAGAAAGAAGCAGCTAAAAGAAATACCCTAAACAGCCCAATGCTGGTTTGAGTTTGCCAGGTCTCAGAGTAGCTAATAAGACCATGTGCCCTGTCTGTTTTTTCCAGCAATGAGGTTGCAAGTGAAAGTCAACATCAGAGACAGAAGCCACATTTTCAGTCTTTGCTCTTCTCTCCCGTTTTGTGTGTTTTTGCCTTGTTTTGTCTTCTAGGAAATGGGGTCTAACTTTAACAGCTGCAGCAACAACAGGTCCAGCCCATCTCAACTAACTTCTTCTCTCTTCACCAAAAGGACAGTTATTAACATCTTTAATATCATCTAATAGACTGTAAAAATTCTCTCCAGCTAAAGGGAAAGGAAACAAGGGATGTTGTTAAAATGAAAGCCTTACTTAATACTTTACGTTTCAGATGCTTTAACTGTTTTTCCTTCTTTGCTGTATCTGTAATAAAAGGTTAAAATGATGTTCAATGGTGTGTTTGCCATGGGAAAAAGTAGGGTGAGGTTTCGATATACCAAATGCTGAGCCTTGTTTAACACTGTTCAGTGTTGGACAGTGACTGCTCTTGCTTCTTTTATTTTTAAACTATAGTTGCTACCTTTGAACTATGTATAGTTATAAAAATCTGTCTCATAGCTCCACATTGTTAGGATTAACTAATGGAAAGCTAAAATTTAAAGTCTCCTTTGGATTTCCTGTATACGGGCCACATTAGATAAATCTTTTAGTACAAAATAAAACATTATTGTTAAATCACCCTCATTTTTTCCTCATTTAAATTTTGTGGAGAGAACTTTGGTGGGGTGGAGTCATTGGTATTGCTTTCTGGTTATGTGTTACTATGTGTCTTCTTCTTTGTTGCAGGTAATATTTGATCTCACTCCCCAGCAAAGAGAGTGGCAGAGGTAATAGATAATTCTAAAGCACTGATGTGAATGCATGTAGGTTGGACAGTGATAGGTCTGCTTTTCTTTTGTCCCTGGAAATAGCTAAGAGAATATGCTCTGAGTATACCTAAGTCATGTTTTAAAAAAAAATCCAACCATATGTTACCTTGCACAGGTACTGCCCATAATAGTGCAGTACACAGCCATTGAAACTGAAGCTCATTTATTTTTTCTCTGGCTTTTTAGAGCTGGCCAGTCAGCATTCAGTGTCTTCACCATGAAAGAGCACTCTTCCATTTTTTAAAATATAAAACTATTTGATCTATCAGTCCTCGTAATAAACCAGTCCTGACGCATTTTATCTAGTTTAATTCCATGTGTGGTAGTTTTGATTCTCTTTATAAACTCATTTGCCATGTTTAGATGTATGTCAGTGTCACTAAACCAAAATAACTCGCCACCTTCAGCAGTTGAATTGATTACTGTTAGCACTTAAAGTTTATTGTTGTTCTCTCCTTCCTCCAATAACTCTTTGATGCAGCTGGGGCGAGAGTGAGAGAAATGCTCCAATGTATAACACAGTGGTCTCCAAAGTGGGGTGCGCAAGAGGATCCTTGGGGGTGCGCGGCAGGAGGAGCGCTTCCCCCCCTCCCTTGAGCGGCTTTTTTTTTTTTGCTTTGGCAAAAATGGTAGAGCCGGCACGGCAGGGGGTGCGTGCTCAAAATTTTTTTACTGATAGGGGTGCGCGATCAAAAAAGTTTGGAGACCACTGGTATAACACAACAGTAAGCAGACAAGTGCATATGTGCTTTAATGCAAGACCCTGGAGACTGCATGCAGTGCTTTGTTTAGTATGAATTTAGGCATAGGGTTCATTCTTATTTGTTCTTTTTGGAATTGGGAGGTTGGTTGAGATGGTGATGAGGAGGGATGTGTGTATGGAATCCCAAACTTCTGAGTTTACCAATGGAGCCACTGCCAAAGTAGATGAATGGTTGGGCCTGCCAACCTTAACTGGATGCAGTGGTGTTGTAGAGCTGTATCGGTCCCAGGACAGTAGAGACAAAAGGTGGATGAAGTAATATCTTTTTATTGGACCAATTTCTGTTGGTGAGTGGGAGATGTTTCAGACTTACACAGAGTTCTTCAGGTCTTTTCCTGAACAAGAGCTCTCCGTAAGCTCGAAAGCTTGTCTCTCTCACCAACAAACCTTAACTGTGTCCTTCGCATCTGAAAGGTCTGTCACAGAATCTAAAGCCTCTTTAAATTCATACTTAGTTCTTTAGGAATCGTTTTCTAGTTTTAGCATCCTCATGGTATACTATGGTGAGTCCAACATCAGTGCTTTTATTTTTAGTTTTTAAATTGTGTATACTTGAGCAGTAGGAATGTTTGGCATATGTCTGTATTTAACATACCATCCTTTTGCTGAATTGAGTGGTTTTATACTATGTAACTAATGTACCTGATGGTAACTATGAATTTATTTTCTGTTACTCTGTTGCATGCATTCCCACTTACTGTACTCATCTGTGTGATCTTTAGGATGCTGCAGTTAATTCAGAGTAGGCTGCAGGAAGAACACTCCCTTCAAGATGTGATATTCAAAAGTGCTTTTAAAAGTGCTTCAACAGCACTGCCACCAAGGTGAGAGAGAAATTGTTGCATGCAGCTGATTTCACTCTCTCTCATGACTGATTGCTTTCCTTAATTCATTTTTGAAGACAAAGTTATAATGGTGAAGGGACTTGAATGCCTCTCCCTTGCTTCAGGTTTCCCTGAGTCCAAAGCCTTTGTCTTAATGTTTTAGAGACTTGCTGGTCTGGGTTGTGAAGAAATCAATAACATTCTGAACGGATTGTATTTTACTTACATCCTTAGTGTGCTAGCAAACGCTTGCCAGAAAGGTTGTTACTTTTTTTATATGAATCTATTTGTATTTCTTTAGCGTTTTTATGATGATCAGCACCCCACAAGAGTCAAGACTCATCACTTACCGGTCATGTTAATGCTGCGTAAAATTAGTTACACAATATTTTTGAATATTTTAAACAAATTATATCTACTTATTTTGATGAACTACCTTTCTAAAACAATTTCAGAGTCCTCTGTTTCAGTTCTTTCATTTCAGTCATCGACAGGGGTTACTGGTTTTTAACCTGCTTTATCGGGCACTTGCATTTCTAATATAAATAAAAAATATTAAATCAATAACACACATGATTTTTTTCTTTAATTAAAAATCATTTAAATAATGTATAGAAAACTTACTGTGCCTTCCCTTAATTGGTGTAAATTAAAAAAAAAAATGTTTCTCCTTTTCCAATACCAATAAATGCTCCCTCCCATAGTTACTACACCGTGGTCTCCTTTCCCATGTCTGGGGATCAGCTGTATTCTTTCGCCTTAGGCCACTGCTGAAGAGTGCTCAGAAGTGATGCTCCCATTTCATTATCTTCTGGGGCACCATTTAAACTACACTTTGGGCTGTTTTAACAAACTGTTTTCAGAAGCAGATCTGGAAACTATTTCAGGTGACATGGTTATACCAGCAAATGTGAGCGGGGCAAAACTTCTTAAAAACAGATGTTGAAAGCTTTTCTTGAGACAGAGTCATTACTTAGCTTTCAGCAACTGTTTTTAAAAAAAAAAATGTTTTGTGCTGTTCGTCCGGGTCAGTACAGCTGCATTGCCTGAACAAACCATTTTCAATCTGAGTTGCTGAAAAGTGTTTCATGAGGTGGCAGATATCCCTAGGGCCTGCGAGAGTCTTCTCTGTAATTGTTCCGGTTCTTGTCCATTTAATTAGCCTCATCCCCTAGGAGTCTTGAACATTTGAGTGATGTGTTGAAACTCTGAGTGACATCAGGCTGGCCAGGATAATGTTTATAAAATGAGCTACTCTTAATTTGTTTTCCTCTCGATGGGGGTGTGTAACTTTTGTGTGCTTAATCTACTATAAAATGTGCTTGTTAACATAGAAGTCCAGATGTTTTAAAGCTCATAGTTTGTAATTACAGTTTGTTTTCCCTTTTCTGAATATCTAGGTTGTACCAGAAGGTTTATTTTCCATGGCAAAAGAATGTGGGTTTCTAAACTTTACGTTGATGCTATTTTTTCACCTACATATAAAATAATCTCAATTACTGTGTTTTGAGCTGTTTCCCTGTTTCTTGTTCGAACAGGGAGGATAATTCATTACTGCCTCCAGATGCATGCAGAATTCATGGTCATCTATATGTCAATAAAGTGGCAGGAAACTTTCACATAACTGTGGGCAAGTATGTTCTTTTCACTTACTGAATATACCACAAATTGACCAAGACAGATGTGTGTGTAGTTAAGCAAAAAACTTTCTTTGGCTCACTTTTGCCTAGTTAGCTGCTTTTATCATAATACAGATTCCCTTTCTGGTCATATTTTTCATATGGTATCTCTCATTTCAAACATCAAATTTCTTCATGTCTGGTTATAGTCAACATGAACTATGGAACTTTTTGAAATGTCTGCTGAAGTAGCTGCTTCTCCTGTGTTCAGCAATGTTGTCACATATCCATAAATTGAACCCTTACAGCTAATTAGATGAACTAGTGCCTTTTGTTAATGTGTGATAAAGTGACAGCTGATACTTTTAGAATGCTAGTACTTGCCTGTTATCTAATTGGGCCCAACCTTACTAGACCTCTAACCGTTCGAGAGCAGAGTTGTCTGTCATAGTAAAGGGCATATGTTTTCCAGCACAGATTTTTGTTAGTTGTATGGATGAGATAATATAGTTATAGAAGCATGTTAGGGAGTCATGACTAAATGTGGATCACAGTTTCCTGACATGCTTCTGTAATCATGTTGTCTCGTAAGCACTTTAAACTAGAAATCTGTATTGGAAATGTATGCCTGTAACCAAGCCAGATCATTGTGCACTAGCATGGCTAGAGGTGTCATGTTCACATGCCATGTGTGGTTTCTGCAATGACCCTTTCTTGGCCTGTGCTCTAATTCTTCTCCTGCTTTGCCGACTGTTCTTTCAGCATCTACATATCTCCTTAAACAGCTCCTCATTCTTTTGTCTATCCCTGTCTGACATCCCTAAGAGTTGCAAAACCTCCTCTTCTCACTCTGTGGACCCACTCTATAACCATATGTCCTCTTGTGGTTTCAACTACCATCTTTGCTAGAGTGAATCCCAAACCTACACCTCTGTTTAGTCTTGTGTCTCAAAATTACCTCTCTGATATCTGTTGTTAGGTGTCCAGCAGTCTTCTCAAGCTCAGTCTGTCCAAAATTGAAGCTCTAATCTCTCCCCTCCTACTCTATCTCCATTGCCATCTCTTCTGTCCTTCCTGCATCCCAGCATAACCTGTCTTCTCTCTCATCCCCTTCATATCTATGGTCTTGCTAAGTTCTGTTGCTTCCTTCCTTCTGGTCGTGTCTTGCCTTGATTATTGTAGCCTTCTACTGCCTGATCTTTTATCTCATCTTCCATTTCTCCAAAATGCATCTGCTTAGGATAGTCACTTTTAATGTCTGAACGGTGAAGGAGGATTTCTTTAATTCTGTTAGGGGTAAACCTTACACTAGGTCAGTGGTTCCCAAACTGGGATTCGTGAACCCCTGGGGGTTCGCAAAATGTTACAGGGGGTTCTCAGGAAAAAATTCCCTAATGGCGGACAGAGCTGTCCCTAGGGACCCCAGGCACCATGGGGCCAGCAGCCCAGAGCCCCTGGACTTCCAAGAGCTAAGCAGATCAAAGCAAGCCTATCTATCACACTGAGGAGATTTAAACTTCAAGACTCCTTATAAGAAATAGAAAGGGAGGTGGATATTTTTTGCTGTTTTTAAAATTAAATAGGCAGCTAGTATTGTTTTTAAAATTATTATGAAGAACAAGTTTAAGCTTTGTTGTAATGTGCGTTGTTTGCCTGGACTGCTCAAGACCTGAATGCTTGTGTAGGAGGAACTCTTTAAATTGGCTTCTTAAATACCTTCATGCTTGTTTCACATCTGATACTCCTTGATGAAACATAGGAGCCTTGTCTTATAACAGGCTTATTCAAAGTGATACAAGCTACGAAAGTGCAATCTTGGAAAAGTGTTGCCGTTTTCATAATGTAATAAAAATACTGTAATGATAAATAATAATTAATTATAAATAGTGTGTAATAAGCATGTCATAAAAACAAATTTTATAGTTCCCAGATCACTGCTTTTATAATTTATACTCAGGTAAAGGAGAAAATCCCTGGAAATATCCATTTTTAGGAGGGGGTTCACGAGACTTGACATTTTTGTGAAAGGGGTTCACAGGTTGTTAAAGTTTGGGAACCATTGCACTAGGTCATAAGGTAGTAAAAGCAAGCCTAGAAGTAAAACTTCTTTTTGAGTGTGAAGAGGGGTTGGGGAAGTGGGCCAGTTTTCCAATCCATACTGGTCCTTTCCCAGTGTGATGCTGGTGCTCCCTTTGTTTTCCTTCTTTCTTTCCTCCTGCTCTTCCAACTTCTCCCAATGCACATACTAGAGAGTCCCACAGATGAAACTGATAATCTGCCTAGTCACAAGGCAATTGCAGGGAAGCCCATATTAACCATTGGCGACTTGAGCTGTTATATGGTTGGTCTTGTACTGTATTTGGACCATGCCAGGATTTGACAGCTTTTCCCCTTGCAGCTCTCTGGCTAGACAAAACCTATTGGCGTTTCTAAAAATAACATTTTGTGTGTATTGAAGGATTTTCATAAGCTTAATGTGTCTTCAGGTGTTACTCTGGTTGTCTGTACTGAGCAACAATGAAAATATCAATGCCCATCATAAAGAGCTATTTTATTGAAATCAAGGGAAAACTGGTGATTTGCTTTATGGAAACCCCAATTTTTATTATTTGAGTTTCTTATAAGTGTCCATTAAACCATTGCTTTATAAAACATGTTTTTGCTTTCTTTAGGGCAATTCCTCATCCCCGAGGCCATGCACACTTGGCAGCCCTTGTGAGCCATGATTGTAAGCTTTTACTGTCCTCTTTCAAAAAACACTATTGGTTCATAGCATCTCCTAGCTACTGATTTGGACATTAGTATTGGACACGTACTATTGCTGAGATATTCTAGTTGAGCGATTTGCATTGTAAAAGAAAACCGAGAATACACTTCAGGATATTATATTATAAAGTGACTTAAATCTTTTCACGCATTTGACATTCACAGTCTATCTGTTTATGCTGATGGTGTAACAGTCATAATGTAAAACTATATATAAAATAATATGTAAATAACAATAAAAAGCATGTTATAATAGTGTATCTTGGATTTCAAAAGTACTGTATAATAATCCGTATTTTTCAGAGAGCTTGTTCCCCTGCAATATTTAGACTATAAAAAGTTTAAAATTTCTGACCTCAAAGCATTATTTCGGTGTTTTGGATTACTAGTCAGGCTGTTGAATGTATATTACGTGTATGTGTGTGTGTGTGTGCGTGCGCATGTAAATGTTACTGTGACAACTTAGCTTTGCTTCCTGACTCTTTACTGTTTAAGCCTCCAATCCTGCAAAGGCTTCCATATGAATTTAATTTTACATGCGTGTATTCCCATTGCAATTAATCATGTGCATAAATCTTTTCAGGATTAGGAACTAAATTAATAAAATTATTGTTGCATTGTGTAGGTTTGTGCATTTAATCAATAAAACAATTTAAACTTTCCAACCCTTTTGGTCAGCCTGAAATGTGAACTGTAGAGTAATTCTAGGTTTCCTTGGCTGCTTCTTGGCCCTTTAACTCTTGGGCTGTTGCAAATGCCGGTACATTTTGATCTACATTATATTGCCTATAAAAATGGGGGGAAGTCCTGAGTTAAAATTGAACATACATATTTTTAAATATTGATGATGCCAGTAAAGCAAGCTTTGCTCATAATACATACACATTTGGATTTGTGGAAATATTTACAAAAGTGCAAATCCTGATAATGTTTTATATCCATCCTAATGGCATTAAATATTCCAATTGATGTCTTTCCTATTGGGGTGTGTGTGTGTGTGTGTGAAATGTAATTTTTTTTTCATATTTCACCAAAATAAACCCCTTACATTTGGTGGTTCTTGTGTGTTGTCTTTCAGCATACAACTTCTCTCATAGAATAGATCACTTGTCTTTTGGAGAGCTCATTCCAGGAATTATTAATCCTTTGGATGGGACAGAAAAAATTGCATCAGATCGTAAGTGTTTCATGATGGAAAAATAATTTAGTATCTGAGATGCTGCTCTTTTAATTCTTAGCTTAAAAATATTAGCATTTTTCTTGAATTCTGCTATTGACAAATGGTACATTATGGTAAATAAGGAATGCATCATTTAGTTACTCTTTTTATTTATCCTGCATCATTCATGGTGTAATCTTTTTTTAACAGGACTTTGCTACTCCATTGTTACTTCTGATGTTGATTTGTAGTTGCACATACAAATGTACTGTCTTTACATTATGGGTGAGCACTCACCTATATGGACAAATTCCCAAAAGTTTCACAGCTGTATGTTACAACTTGGACTTGCAGAGCCAAGTGTCCTCACGGAGGAGACTGTCTAGTGGTTAGACTGTAGGACTGAGATTCAGGATTCCTTGGTTCTGTTCCCATCTCTGTCACCGACTCACTGTGTGGTCTTTGGCAAGTCATTTAAATTTCCTCATTTATAAATTGAGGCTAATATCTACCTCACAGAGGGGCTGTGAGGATTAATCACTGTCTAACACATTCATTGACAATTAAAACATATTGAACTCTTTGGATGTGTTTTGTATTTTAGAGTAACCAAGTATTATTGTAATGTCACTGGTAAGATTACTTACCAAACTATTGAAAAGAAATGGAATTTCTTATTTGTGCGACATGAATATTTTAATATGCTAAAAAACTTCAAAACCTTAGACCCACAGACCTTGATCAGACAGCAGATCAACTGGTGTTACTTTGTTGATTTGAAATACCATTTCACTTGAAATTATCATTTGAGTTGTTTGGTGGTTTGTTCTGCGAGGATGTTGAATTTAGAGGGATTGTATTACAAATACATTACAAAATGCTGATTGTCTACTATGAGTTCTCTAATGAACTGTCTCCTCTAGGGAAACTTTCTGAAAATCCAATCAATGCAGTCCCACTAGTGTTAGGAACACTGGAAGAACTTGCATAGACAAACCGTTGGCTTCAGCCACCATTTTGAAACTGCCATAACCCCTACTTCTGTGTGCAGGGTTACATGAGATGGTGGTTAAAACAGCAGTGGCAGCCTGTGGCTTGTCTACAATAGGGCCCTGGAAAGATTTATGCACATGCTAAACTTCATACACTGATCTGTCCTATTGACTTCAGCGGGACTACTCACAATGTGTGAAGTCTGGCATGTGCAAAAATTTGTCCTAGGGTCCAACCCTCAAAATTAACATTGATGGAGCCAAATCAGTGTTGTCCACAGTGGGACTTTTTTTGAAATTGCCCCCAGGGTAGACAGAGCTTAATAGATAATACTCTTAATGGTCTTTTCAGAAAAATACTTGTTTAACAGCTGAATATCTCTCTCAAATGATTTTTATCCTATAATTAGTGTTAATTCAATAGTAAGATTTGTTTTGTTTTAGACAACCAGATGTTCCAATATTTTATCACAGTCGTGCCAACAAAACTCCATACGTATAAAATTTCAGCAGAAACTCACCAGTTTTCCGTGACAGAAAGGGTAAGTCCCAGTTAGAAACCAACCCAAAGAAAAGGTTTTGTTTTAGTGTGTTTGTACTTGTCAAAGCTAGATGGGAAAACTGAGACTTGATTGGTTTTTGCTTTTAAAGACTCTTCAAGCAGGGTCAGTTTACTAAAATACTCCAGGATATGTTGGAATATTTGTCAGTGATGTTATGCTGAATGTAAAATATATGTATGTGACAACACATGTTCAGTTATTTGCATTAGCATCTTGCATCCAAAAATCCTGGGTCCCAATGTTAGATTTAATGATTAGCAACCAGCCTTGCTTACTTCATTTGAGGCTAATAATGAAAACCGGTTCCCATAAATTATTCTGATATGCTTGTGTGATAAATACTTAATCCATCTCTAGTCCTCTTATCCAACTCCTGTTGGATTGAAGAACCGGAGGGTACAGAACGCTACTGTTCTTTGCCTCCCAGCTATTTTGATTTGCATTTGGTGAGGCACCTACTGTTAATCACCCAGTCTCTTGATTGTCAAACTTCTATTATCTTTAGATTTGGTGTTCATTATAAATTCCAAATCTGTAAAAGGGGAAACCCAGCTATTAGTTACTGCAGTCTACTCCTTGCCAAATTCTGTCATGCGAATGTTTAAAGACTGATGTAAATAAGAAAAAAGCTTTCTAATATACTCCCGTTACACCTGTCTCATTATCATTTCCCTAGTCAGTGGTTGAACTCGGATTGATCTTGATATTTGCAAGCCGAAGGAACAGCTCTTTTAAAAGCTGAACTATGAAAGGCAGGCAAGGGATACTGCGCTTCAAAAAAATTGAATAGTAATGATCATTCACTTAAATGTAACTTGTATGAAATTGATTATTCTACAATCTAGTGTTTCCTCACAGCCTTCATTTTGCATTGGGAGCATTATGCTATGCTTCATGGACAATTGTTTTTCCTGCATTATCAAAGGGGGAGAAAAAGGAGTTTTTGTTTTTTTAATTCAGCAGTGGGACATTAAGGATATTGGAAAAAAGGTGCGGAGATTATTCTGTAGAGAACTGAACTCAAAACAGGAACAAAAAGAGACACATAATCAGTGATCTGGATCATGCAAGATACATTTCAGTTTCCTCACTCCTCCTGCTCATCTAGCATTTTGCCATTCCTCTGCAAGACAATCTCACTGCTCCTTTCAAGGCCCTGCCATCTGGAACAGTTTTTCTAAACCTCTCCACCTCGTTGATTTTCCATCTCACTTTGCATCACAGCTTTTCTTCCTGTACCTCCTTTCTCTCACTTTCTGCTAGGAAAATTTATTTATTTTATTAGTAGTAGCGATTTCTTTAACTCTGTAAAACTTTTGGGGATTCAGTTGGTCTGAAAGATGCTACTGAATCATAAGTTCCTAGGAGGAAGTCTTTATGAATAACTGAGGTTGTGGGTGGGATTACAATGATATGTCTCACCAGGCAAGCCTGCCTGTTAACAGTATAGCTTTTCTTTTAAATTAACAAATGGGCTGAGAAAGGCTATTAGAGAGAGATCAGTTTTTCAGAGAAAAATTGTGTAGCATGTAAGTGTTGTCGTAGCAGACTACAGAATGTGTCCAGGGATTGAAAAACCCAGGATCCACATTGTGCCAACTCGTCATGATTAAAACCTGGCCTCTGTAGGGCCTAATAACATCAGTAGCAGATACAGTGAGGAACATAACTTGTCCTTGTCTATGGTGACTACAAAGCCATGGTTAAAGTAATGTTAATTAATGCTGTTGTTTGAAAAATTGTTTGAATATGTTAAATTGTATTACTGTAGACAAGGCCTGAGCGATAACCAATACCTGTACCACATAGCTCCACTTTTCTACTTATAGTAGGGCATATCCTCAGCTGCTGTAAAGTGTTGTAGCTCAACTGAAGTAACTGGTATTGCTAGGAACCAGCACTTAAACCCTCTGCAACAGCTGGAAGTAGAAATATTAGACCAAAATGCCCCCAAGAAAGATTGTTTTTCTCTTTAAAGTGGCTTTAGAATAACAGTCAGGCTGTCTATAGCATTCAGAAAAGAACCAACTATTGTTAATGCATCCTTGGCTCTGCATACTTACCATAACTGCCTCCATCCAGCTTGTTTTTTTAAAAATGCCTAATAAAGTCTGTCCGCATCTGTCCTTATTGCTTAATACAGCCTGTTAGTTCTAAAATTATGAAAGTACGTATGGGTTTCTTCTGTGATATTGGTTTGTAAGTGTTGCAATTAATAAAAGTATGTAGTTTATAAATTGATATATGAAGCTGGCATTCTCGTACTTTGGTTTGGTAACAAACAGTAACTGTATATCATAAATATAACATGGTTATACACGTCAACTGAATTTACTGGAGAAAGATGAGAGGTCTGAATTTTTCAATCAGTTGTCTGTGATTCTGAGTTTCCATTATACTGGATGCTCTTTAGTAAAAGTATTAAATTCTCAGATGGGATGAAACTGCTCCATGATACATTGCCTTTCTGTTTAGTTTTGCTCTTTTCTTATGTAGCTTACTTCTTTAGCGTATTCATTGCTGAATATATCTTCAGTGAATTAGTTCTTTGCTGCCTGTGCACTTCCTCAGCAGCTCCCACCTGACAGGTTATTTTATCAACAGCTCTCACTAGCATGCAAATAGCAGCAAATTTTTCAGGATGACTTCAGATTGATGCAACGACTTTTCTCTTGAAAACCATTCAAAAGAACTTGAATTCCTAGGTTTTAAACTGCTTTGTACTTGACCATCTTAATGATCAGGGAGAGGCAGGAAGGTGAGGCTAGTAAGAAGCATGTTAATTTTGAAGAACATTCTGAATTTGGGGAGTATTGTGCCAGTAAGAAATAATATACAAGAAGCATAGAGAGACGAGAACTAGAGAGAAGAGAATCAACTTGGGAGTACAAGCTAATACATCTGGGAGAAACAAATTGAAACACAGATATTCAAACTTGGAAAGTGATGATACCAAAAGAAACCCGCAAAGGAGATGTGACCTTGCAGCACAGTATGCCAACAGAAAAGCAAATGTCTTTGGGCTACACGTCAGAGGTATCATGTAAATGGCCCCGGTGAGATTGTCAGCAGTAGTCTGCTCTGTTCTGGGCCCCTCGATATAAAAGAGTTTTTCACAAATTGGAGGAAGTTATAGAAGTGATTAAGGACACCTGATTCGTCTGGTGGATAGAGCAAGGGGCTGGGAATCAGGAGTTGTGAGTCCTTTTCCATGAGTTCTGACCTACCTGGCTGTTTGATTTTTCTATCCAATTACTTAGTGTGGAATTTTCTAAAGTGGTCCGTAATTTTGGATTCCTGTCTTTAGACCTGTTGGGTTAAAATTTTCAAATATATGAGCCTGATCTTTCAGAAGTATTGAGCAGCCATGCTCCAATGAAGACAATACAATCCGTGGATGCTTAGCAACTTTGAAAATTCGGCCCTAGATGTTGAAGGGTCAGCACCCAAATTCATATGTAGGGATCTAATAAATAAAACTGCAACTCCTCTTGACTTCATTTGAGGTGGTGGCTACTCAGAAACTCTGAAAATGAGGCCCATGTGTCTCAGATGAGGCACCCAGGTCTAGAGGCTGGTTCTGAAGACCTGGACCATAACCTTTCTCAGCCACCTCAGTTCGCCGCTCTGTAAAGTTGGTACAACGCCTACATGTTGTGAAGTTTAAAGTACACCTGGATGCTTCATACTTAAGGGAAGAAAACACTTATAGGCTAGAATGTTTCTTGATGGCCCAACCCTGTATTAGGGGCAGTGCAAGGCTGGAGCATCCTGGGACATGTTTGCGAGGCTGCACTTCCTCCTGGTGTACTTGGCCTGTTTCATGGAATGGGACAAAGCCAAGACCCTTATGTCTTTTCCTTCCTTTTTGAGGCAATTACAGGGGCACAGGAAGGAAGCAGTCCGTGGCCCTTACAGGTGTCTGCTGCCCTTATATACCCTATCTGTACCCCATACACCTGCATAAAGGACAGGGATGATCTGGTTTTAAACTTGGTCCTTAAACAAATGTATTAAGTAAACTTGTATCCTGAGAGGAGCGTGTAAATTACTTAGTTGTAGAATAAAATGAGGGCAAGTACTAGTCACTGGTATTGAACAAGGGTTTGCAATACAAAGGGCAAGTAAACAGGAAAGTGAATAGTGACTTGCTAGCTATAAAGGTCTAAAGTATAAAATAGTATCTCATCCCTACTTTGATCAAAATCTAGTTACTGTGTGGCTTTTAGTTACTTGTTGCTCTATTGTCTCATGTTGATTACTGACTGTCCTAACAAGTTGCTGTTTGTCAACCATGTCCATTAGATATTGCTGTGCATGTGACTGCTGTGAGATTACTAACTTGTGTATGTTTCTCCCTTTGTCCTCAGGAAAGAGTGATTAACCATGCAGCTGGCAGCCATGGGGTATCCGGGATATTCATGAAATATGACATCAGTTCACTTATGGTGACAGTAACAGAAGAACACATGCCCTTTTGGCAGTTCGTAATAAGACTCTGTGGTATTATCGGTGGAATTTTCTCAACTACAGGTAACCATCAGTGCATTCCTTCTTGTGCCCTACCAGGTAGATACGGTTAAGCAACTAAAGGCCATACATTTAGTGGCCACCCTGGTTACGCTACTTGTTTTGTGAGTTCATGCAATAAGCTATTAGGTAGCCATTCACAACTAGTGAGTGGGATATTGGTTTGTGCATGGAATGCTATGAATTTCTAATACTGTGTATAGAACACCCCAGTACACTGTTGTCTGTGGTGGACTTGCCATTTCTTTTCTTTTCTTTTCTTTTCTAACTAAACCATAGTTTATTCTCTTCTGGAAGTTCATGGATATACACTACAAACCGGTCTGACCTCTAATATCCTGTCTGACTCTGTACTGTAGTTCGGGCCTAATTCTGCTAATCTTGCCCAAAACTTACTGAAGTAAAACTCCCATTAAAGGCATCATGAGGTTTTTTCCCTTGGTAAGTCTTGAATGGACCATAGGATTGGGCCCCTGAGAGAAACAGCTAGCTTTAAAAGAGGCATCTCAATTCACTGATTACCCAGGGCCATAATGAATCATAAAAAGAATCAGGTTCCTCTTTGCCTAAGAATTATTGGTACCCTTGCTTTTAATTTGAGGAAAGTATCTTCCTATTCTATACTAAATCTGGTGAAACAGAGACACTTTTAACCTGTGAACATTAACTGTCTTGTTGAGTGGATGCTTTTTGCCTCACAAAACATATTTGTCTATGCTGACAGTGTTTAATGCTGAATTAGCATAACCTGGGCAAAAGCCATTGTATTCTTTTAGGTGGCTATACTTTTATCCATTATCAAAACACTTCAGAGCACTTTGTTTGTCTAGTGGAAGGGTTGTACAAAGTACACCGTGTTCCAATGAGAAAATGAGTCACTCACAGAAATATAGGTTCCTCTAATTTTGAAATTAGAGAAATTTAAAAACCCATAATCATCAGCCAAATTACATAGGTAATTAATAATGGCTTCGGTGGTCTCTGATCCCCTTTAGTCTTTGAGCTTGTAACCATGCTTGATACCCAGCAGTTGTTTGGTTTTCCCCATCCACACAATGGCACATCCTTCCTGTTACCTGAAACCACTCCCTCCCCCTCTCCCCCCCCCCCCCCCCCCGATCTTGTTCCCAGGCAGTTACTTACTTTTTCCCTGCCTTGCTTGAGTGACGTTTCTGGATTTATCAACGAGCCGCTGGCCCAACAAACAGTCTCTGAACCCAATTCCATTTACCTTACGTGAAAAAATAGTTTATTGGCACTTGTAAAGAAATAGAGGAAAAAGCATAACATAAAACGTGCCTAGAGCAGTGCTATAGAAAGCCTCGCTAGATTGGCATTGCTGTTTTGGTTCTGGATTGCTTCCTGTGACAAAAAATTCCTTTTAACTCCTATTACCACTGCTAATGTTACATGGTCTACAGGTACCAAAAGAACCCATGTTGTTTCATTGAATATCTTCATTAGCTCTGTAAGCTCTTCAGAGATCACAGCTCTGACTCAAAGGATCAGAGTTGTGCCCCTTGCAGTAGTAGTGGCTGGTTTGAAGTCAGATTTGGGATTTTAGGTTATTCAGAGCATATCTCTGATTCAAGGGGCAGCATGTGTGTAGCACATGACCAATGACATGGAAGACCTTTGTGAAGTTCATATAGGCTTCTGTCCAATTTAAAAACTAAACTTGTTAATACAGCTTTCAGCTTCTTGTGGGAAACTGAGTTTTCCTGTCAAGTTTTTTCAAGTGGGTGGTGTAATAAACTGGTCAGTCTGAATCAAAGCTTTTGATTTTTGTTTTCTTCAAGCCAATGAAGAAATAGTAATGCAAATCTCCTTGTTGATTAACTTAATTCCCTGGTGCTTTTCTAACATGAAATTGGTTTTGTTAAGGTCACATTTGCATGGAAAAAAATGAGTGGTTTCCATTTCAAAATAGCAATCTTTGTTTAGGGGAAATGAAAAATATTTAGAAAATGTTACTTTATTTTTTTCAGTGCGTCTATGGTGATCAATTGTACTGGAACAGAGTTTAAGTTGAAACCTGATGTAGTGATGCTGTCATTACAGAAGCCTCTTTTTACACAGTCCTCATTTTATTCCTTTTCAAAACTCAAACCCTGTTTGATATTACAGGCATTTTACATGGCATTGGAAGATTCATAGTGGAAATTATCTGCTGTCGTTTCAAACTGGGCTCTCACAAACCTGTAAGAATATTTTCTTTTCTTATCATAGGAATTAAGGAAATAGAACAACTATGTACTAGCAAAGTAAAAGATTTTAAAAGGTAGCTAGCTGTAATGAAAGAATACAACTGTAGGACCTAATCCTGTGCCTATTTAAATCCATGGTAAAACTTCCCTTGATTTTCATTAGGAGCATATTCAGAAGTTTTTAAAAATAGTTCGAACACATGGGTCCTTAGCCAGATTTGTAATAAGAGGACAGTGATGTTCTCTGGAAAATCTACTACCTAAGGGGAAAAAACACACACACTTTTATGGATTTAAGGATACAGAAAAGCAGAGAATGGAGGAAATGCGTATTTAAAAAAAGCAAATGCAATGGATGAAGTTCTTGAACAAGATATTAATGTTTTTGTTTTTTGTTTGTTTGATTAGGTCCTACTTCCGGATGGCCACATAAACAACCACTTACCTCTAATTACAGACAACAGTATGCATTAGCACCTCCTTGGGAAACTTTTTTTCTTTCTTTCTGCCTGATACAGAAGACAATTTTTATAATAAAGAAAACATTGTGCAATATGTTGAGACAGTGCTCATGGGAAGCAAAAATCAAGCCTTTTAAAAAAACAGTCTGTGTAATTTGTCTCTCTTAAGTGCACATGGAGTCGAAGGAGGCCAGGAAGCCCCGTGAAGCCAACCTCTTCTTGAGCTAGCAGAAGCATTACTGAAGAGAGACAATATTTGCAGTGAAACTGAGTGTCTTTGCAAAAACTGCCATCAGCACTGAAGTGTCAGTGTAGTGATCTGGATTCCAGGCCTGCGAAGTCAGGCAAACACCTATGAAAGCTAACACATATGCAGAATGCAGAGAGAGCCCCATGCAGTGTTCAGCGTGCAGTGCAGCAAGCAAGGGTGGCTGTGATAATTGTAGTTTAAGAAGCCAGGATTTGCTGCTAGGTTTTCAGAAATGGACGTGAGACTTTAATTTTTTTAAATGAGTAGGTAGAGAAGGCTTCGATGCTATGCTGATGGAGGTGTGTGGGGGGGGCACTATTGAAAATAGAAGTGGTCTCAGGCACTGAGACAGAGCCATAGCACTTTCAGCAGTCACTGCCATTCTCCAGTAGCACCATTATCTATCTACAAGAGGAAAAAGTGCTGCAGAGCAGGGAATATGGCATTTCTCTGTGTCTCTCTTCTCACAGCCACTTTTTGCCAACAATCCAATTCTCTCGAGTTTGAGCCAAGGAACCAGGAATAGTAAGTCACTGTTGAAAAGGTGTTTGACCGGAATCATTATCTGTTTTCCTATCCCAGAGCTAAACTCGGTCTCCAGAAAGTAAGAAACCACCTCTCTGCTATGGCTTAGAAAAGAAATGAATGTCTCAGTGTGATTAGGTGGGCAACAACACTGCTTTTCAAGAACAGACATGTACTCTGCCTGCTGCTGGAACATAAGCTTTGGCAACTAAAAAATGGGAGAGTAAGAGGAGGGAGAAGAGATTGAAGAACAAATGGCTAAGTACAGCAAAGCAGTTTTACTAAATACTACAGAAGCAAGGAAACTGAGTCAGCCAGTGAGTCTGCTGGACCACCCAGGGTATAGTAAAGACAATCACCAAGGAACAGGTGATGGCAGAGAATCTGAATAAATTTCTCTGCGGTATAGGTGATGAGGAAGAGTTAAAATTTATAGGTCATGAAAGTTTTGGGTTTTTTGTTCTTCTTTAAGTAAATGGAGCATCCTGAGCTTTATGCTGGAATACATTAGTGGAGTTGGTGGCATTAAGAAACTAAAGAACTAAGTACTGTAGCTGAACTACTGACCAAAACTTGTCATTAAGAAACACAGCTACTCCACCAGAGAGTACACAGAGTATAGGCTGATTTGTACCACCCTGATTTTTGTAAAGCTAATGCCTCTCTAAGCTGTGAGAATTGTGCGGAAGAGTATTAAATAAAGAGTGGGAAGGGAAGAACCTGTGCATAGTTTGTTTGGTTGATTGAAAAAGTCCCAAATTTAAGGAAACTAGGTCATCTGAGGACGGAGGTAAAGTTTTGTCATAGATTAAAACTGACTGAGATGGGAAACAAAGGTCTTGGCTACCTTAAGCAAGGAAACCGTCACACACTGACTGCATTAAGTGGCATGGTGCATCACGTGTCCTTGCAACCATGTAGTGCATCCACACAGTAACGCCGTTCTTGGTGGAACCAATCTAGTGCATTCACATGAGTCTTGAATTGCAACTGTGATACCAGAGCATTCCATCATATAGTGCCCAGCACCTTTGCTAGGAGCAGGAGCTTTTGGGGTAACTTTCAGATATGAGGCACTGCATTGTGGGATGGAGTTAGAGGCAGTTGTACCATTGTAGCTGCCATGCTTGTTGCTACATGTCCATACTGGGGTGAAGCCATTATAGTTTGCACCAATTCATTTGGATCTGAACTGAAGGTCTTGTACCAAGTGTTGCAGCTAACTAACTTTGCAACCACACCTTGGACAGCTGTTCTGTGTGGATTCGAGAAGGTACAGAAGGGTTGCAAGCATAAGCCAGCTTATTACAATAGTTTCTTGTAATGCTTCATTGCTTTGTGTAGCTGGGCAAAAGAGTAGGGCTAAGTGTAAGAGTGTGGCTTCCCAGTGAACAGTATGAATGCTAGTGTTGTTCAGTATGTATTCTGGAAGGTAGGTTGGACAGGAAACTAGTGAAGTTGCATCTTAAATATAACTTCGCTTGAATTAGTCAAGTTTAGGGAAGATTGTGACCAAAGAAAGATATAAAATGCATATTTGGACAGTGTGATGGTTGGTGACAGTTACCATAAACAAGTGTAAGGAAACATCCACAGGAGGGAATATTTAAACCATTCAGAGAGTCATTCATTCTGAATTTGTTATTTCTTTGTAAGTTCTTCAGCTCCAACTTCCCTCAAGCCAGCGTCTTCAGCCGCTGCCACTCTAGCAGACTATTCTCCCTCCTGCTTCTGCTTGCACTGGTTCTGATGACCAACGTTTTTGTTGGTCTCCGCTGAATGCTCTCCAGATTGTCCACATTGTTCATAGTGTAGTGCCCAAATACTGGAAACGGTAGTCCAGCTGACGCTTCACCAGTGCCAAGTACAGCAGGACAATTGCCTCTTGTATCTTACATATGATACTCCTGTTAATACACCCAGAATATAAGCCTTTTTTGCAGTTGCATCACTGCAACTGGGGGGAGGGATAGCTCAGTGGTTTGACCATTGGCCTGCTAAACCCAGGGTTGTGAGTTCAATCCTTGAGGGGGCCACTTAGGAATCTGGGGCAAAATCAGTACTTGGTCCTGCTAGTGAAGGCAGGGGGCTGGACTTGATGACCTTTCAAGGTCCCTTCCAGTTCTAGGAGATAGGATATCTCCATTAATTTATTTATTTATCACATTGTTGACTCCCAATTTGAGACCCACTATAACCCCCAGATCCTATTCAGCTCCACAACTGCCTACCAAGTTATTTCTCACTTTGCATTTGTGCATTTGATTTTTCCTTCCTAAGTGTAGAACTTTGCACTTGTCTTTATTGAAATTCATTTTACTGATTTCAGACCAATTTTCCAGTTACTTGAATGTTTTGGGATTACAGTATCATCGTGTCCAAATTAAACCCATCTCCCAGGTGCTAGAAACCTCCTACAAACACTGGACGGACACACACACACACACACACACACACACACACACACACACACACATTCAGTACAATGAAGCCAGTTGGGAAACTGTTCATATCTTGTATCATAATACTAGAACCAGAGGGCACTTAAAAGGCAAGACATTTTCAATGGATAAAAGGAAGATCGTTATGCAAGATATAGTTAAGTAGAGCTCTTTTCAAGGCAAATAGGAAGAATAAAAAAATGGACACATGAATACAGTCTGCAGGTACATTAGCTGCAATAATTCTTGGGCGGGGAAAACTTATCATGAGCTGGGTAAGGAACAAATTTCTGTTTCTTTCCCCTCCATGCCCTTGCACAAACTGTGATATAATATATGTTTCTGACTGTTAAGTTATCAGATCCCCTTCCGCATCTGCCATAGGTGGCTGCCAGAGGCAGGATGTGAGTCTAGATGGAAAAGTGATCTGACCTCGTATGGCATCTACCATATTCCTTAAAGAAAATACAGATGATGTGTCCATGGGAGAAACGTGAAGGTCAGAATCAGGATGACCATACCCACGATCAAAGACAGGCGTGAGTCTCAACGTTCAGGCCCCGAGCATCCACCAAATATTTTAGTGCTTGTTTCCTTTTAAGGCTGTTGGGCTGCTCGAGCTTTGCTTTTAGATGTGTTGTGCTGCTTTTTGACTTTCATTAAGATCATTTTATAACTTATTTGCACTTGTAGCCTCCTTGCCTTGGAAAGCTTAATCTGTCCCACCTCTTGGCTTCTAGTGCCATACCACATAAGCCATACAATATACTAGCCACCCTTTCTGAGCCCCTCCTGGCTGTGGCTTGTTTCACTTCCTTATTGTTCAGCCTGGTGGCTGGTTGCCCTTGTTGCAGCTAAATTGATGCTGAGTCTCACTACTGCTACTACTTTGCTTTCTTCCTTTGCCTTTGTAGCTTCAAATACAGGGTTGGACTCGGAGGAGGCAAAGTGAAGGGAATAATTTGGGTGCATGGATAAGAGAGAGAAATTCTGCGTCAGACTCTTCTAGAGGAAACGTTGGGGGGGGGTATTTACTGGGGTGGGATTAAGAAAATCACCTACTTGTGTAGAGGGCACTGGTGTGAAAATCATCCAAGCGAAACTGCCTTATTCGTGAGTTTAGATGAGGGTACTTGGGTAGCCCCTTGTAATGTTGTGTGTGTGTGTGTGTGTGTGTGTGTGTGTGTGTATGTATATGTGTATATATATATATATATATACACATACACACACACACACACACTCAATGTTCATGGACTAGTGATGGTGTGTGAAGCCCATCCAGGTGGAGCTGCTTCTGCAGATTTGCTCAGTCACAACTGTGAGGCATTTCAGTCTCAAGAGGTAATGTTCTCTCTTATCTGTATCCCAGTGCAGGATTCTCTTTGGATTTTCAGGGACTACCTTGACCATCTGACTCAAAACACCAACACATCTCTACCTGGCTGCTTATTGTCTTTCTATCTGTTACAGCTATTTCTGTGGTATAAACTCAGCTGTGATGCTCTCTGTACACTACACCAACTCTGGAGGGGTAGTAGTTGCACCAGAGGACAGGACCAAACTTTCAAGTGTTGTGAAGTGGGGCTGAAAGCAAAGAGGAAAGCTTTGGGACTAAAAAAATATAAAGCCTTATATGTAGGAAGAGGAAATAAGCAGTGCAAGTACTAAGCAAGGGGATGTAATTGAGCTGTCACATCCATGGCATTTAAGTTCCTTCTTAATATTTTTTTTAATGCAACCAAGCAGTGTAGCTGCTTCTTGGAAGATGTGGGATCAAAATTGTTTGATTGGGAGGGAAAGTGTCCATGAAAAGGTTTGTCTCTGCCTTAAAGGACTCCACGGAGTGAAAATATTTGAGAACAATTGTACTATGTGCACCTGGTCTTGCCTTGGTAGTTTATTCCATATATTATTTTTTTATGTAATGACCCTTCCATCAAAATTCATTTAGTGCTGGCTCCTGCCCTGGTATTGGGGCCCCGGGAGTAGTTTGGTATTTTGACAAAACATCATTGCACATATGTATTCTACACCTCCCACCCACCCTTAAGAACACGTTGTGCATTTTGAAGGAACTCTACTTGCCCCACAAGGGGTCTAGCATTATGGCACTTGGCCTTCGGCTTCAGCAGGGGTCCGTGGGGCTCCTGAGTTAGTCAATGATGCGGTTGTGTTCAGCAGGACTGGTTAGTTGCTCCTTCTCTTTTCAACCCCATGGCTCAGTGCTCTGTGTCCATAGCACTCCCAGCTCCTTTTGGCCGAGGTGGCAGATTATTCTCTTTCAGTGAGGTCTTGTCTAGCTCCTGTAGGTGGTGTGT